AGATCCTGTGACAGCTAACAAGAGAATTCTAGAGATGTTTTCAGATTCAAGCAACCCTAGTAATTCCTGGCGAAACATTATCTAAAGCCAATTTGTCAAATCGTGGTCCAGGGACTACCTGGATCAGATTTCCAGAGATCCTCACTACAGATTCAGTATTTAGGGCCTACACTATAGCTGACCAGTTAGATTAAGAATGATGAGGCCCAGGAATCTGCATTTTAACAAGCTTGTCTAGTGAGATTTCTGCTCATTAAGGCTTGAGAATTAATAGATTTGGCCCTTTATTTGACATTGCTGAAATGATGCTGGTTTCTTCCATCTAGAGGCCTCCCTCAAAATTCTCAACAGTGTTAAACATTCTTTTTTTGTTGAGTGTAGGCTACAAAGTTTGGCTTCCAAACAAACTGTGCCTTAATTCGTGGATTTGTTTAAATAAAATTATTCCAAAGGCATTACTTCCCACCGTATAGGCCCCCGAGCACATCCTGATGATAAAAAAGTAGGTGGGTTATGCTGCGTGCCTTCTACTAACGTTGGGCTATTTGTCATCCTGAGCCAGACATCCTCCTGCAGTGCTGCTACTGACTTAATGTTTGTGTCTCCCCAAATTCATGTTGAGACCTCATCCCCACTCATGGTATTTGGAGGTGGGGCATTTGGGCGGTGATCAGGTCATGAAGGCAGAACCTAATGGGATTAGTGAGTTTATAAAAAGAGGCTGCAGAAAGCTTCTTACCCCTCCCACCATGTGAAGACACAGCTAATAAATGACCCTCTGAACCAGGAAATGGGCTCTCACCAAACACCAAATCAAGTGCCTTGATATTCTAGCCTCCAGAACTGTGTGAAATCTCTGTTGTTTATAAGCCACTGAGTCTATGGTATTCTGTTACAGCAAGCCCACATGGACGAAGACACCTGCCGGTTTTTCTCCTGCTTCACTCAGGCCTCAAGGAGCACAGCTTTCCTGGGTAAAATAGGAGTGAGTCTGTGATTGTGGTGGTTTCCAAACTGAACTGTAGAACAAAATCAGCTGTGGAGCTTTTTAAACTGACCCACACAGAATGTCAGCAATCCCAAACATATTTGTTTGCAAAAAGTTTATAATTTCACAAAGCACCTCACGGGATTAATGACCTGTCAAAAGTGGTACTGTCATAAGGAGCAGTGAATTGAATTTGAGGAAATAATGAAGGGTGTAGACAGAATTTTTGCAACAAAAACATTTAACACGTTCTTGCTTATAAAGAATTTGTTGTAGGGCTTTTTTTAAGTTTCATTTATTTATTTTTGAGAGAGACAGTGCGTGTGTGTGCGTGCATGTGTGTGTGTGTGTGCAGAAGGGGCAGAGAGACTGGGAGACAGCCAAGCAGGCTCTGTGCCACCAGCACAGAGATGCAAGATCATGACCTGAGCCTAAATCAAGAGTCAATCACTACCTGACTGACCCACCTAGGCACCCCAAGAATTTGGAAATAACCTAAATTTGCCCAGCAGTAAAAACTTGATTAAATAAATAATGGCACATTTATATGAAGGAATACAAGACGTCTATTAACATAGTTCAGAGAATATTTATTGACCTGGAAAGATGTTCTTGGTGAGTAAAGTGAAAACAGCAGCATGAACAATTGCTCCCTTCTTGTTTAAAAAAAAAAAAAAAGTCTAGTGGCACTGACAGAAGACCCACAAAAGCAACTTCTA